CTGCTCCTTGCATAAGCTCAATTAGTGATAATTACCGAGTGTAAACCCTTAGTCTGTGTTTGGTGTGATTTCCAATGGGTAGCTGGCCTCTTTGATGATCCTCCATGAACAAAGCCCATTGACATAGAGAGGAGCCCACCCCCCCGAACCTTCAGCCTCACTCAGTGTGCGATTGTGTTTCCAGTCTAACTACACATCTGTCCACTGATGCACAGCCTGCACCTTCAGTTGTGGTTTCCTGCATGGCACTTTTTTTTATATGGAAGTGTCACTTTAAAAAAAAAAATCACCACCACAAATCTGATATTTATTCAAGATGTTTTTTATAAGACCATAACTTACAACAGCTTTTTAGATTTAAAATTTAACATCACGTTTGTGGGAAAACCAAGCAAACACAGCCCTATATTTGGCTTTAGTTGTGTCAGTGTGTGTGTTACAAGACACACTGCATATGACAGCTGTATGTCATTATTTGTATTTAGTACTGTATGTGTTTTAGGGGAAATACGGTGTAAATATTTTAGTAGGCATGACAAGCAAGTTTTACCGGGTCACTAGAAATGACACAGTGAACACAGCAGCGTTGCTGTCAGCGTATCGCTACAGTGTTCACTTTTAGTCATGACCAACCTCACACAGTATGTTTGGACACTGAGTTTTGTGGAAGACTAGAGAAGGAGCATCTATGGATGTTAAAGTTAAATTTTCATCCTGTTTATTGAATGTATATGTGTATTTAATAGATATTTTTGTGCATTTTTGTCTTTTTAAACTCTCAAATATCTGTATAGGCCTCAAATACAAGACTGGGTGGGGCTACCAAACAGCACTCCTGACTACTTTAAAGTCAGTTGATGAGTTTCTAATTTTGTGCCTTTTGTACATGAAACTTTTGACAGTCATTCACTTGTATCCGCCCCCATTTCATGCCTTTTGCTTGTCTGCTTCACACGGTATGCTTAAAGTAACCATCTTGCTGCTCTTCCAGCTACTGAAGACGGTGTCTGGGTTACAGCCGCAGGGTTCTCCTTTTTCTTCATCATCTAGTCTATCATCTAGCCTGATATCTGAGAAGCTGGATGTCTCTTTTATTGCCAGTTATAGCTCCACATGGGTGGACTATGACAAGACGCCCACCTGAGAGTCGCTCTGTCTTACCGCTCGCCTAAGTAGTCTCCGATGACAGTCTTGTTGAGGCCCTCGCCTTTGTACAGGAACTGGGCGATGTCCTCGGGAGTGTGCTGAAGGAGGTCGTTCTCCAGCAGGAACTGGATTCCCTGGAGACGAAGCGAGGAGAACAGGCTGACTGTTCATCTCAGTTGAAGACAGAATGGGTCACTCGTCACACAAGCTCAGAAAATCAAAATTTCATACAACTACAAAATCAAAAACAACATGGAAGCGTACCTTTTTTGGATCCATGTTGAATTTCTTCCTGCCCATGGCAATCTGTTTGTTTCTCTGGGATGTTTTACTGAAACACATGACCGTAAACGTAGAGATTTAATCGAGTGGCTCCACAAATATGAGAAGACAAGGCAGGGACGACCTCAGGGACAAACACCGACTTCTCTATTGACAACATGTGTGAGTGCTCTACAAAGGCATGTGCTGTACATTGACCGTCAATGTTTGCTTTATGTAACTGTTGGTCTGCTATTGTACACATCATATAGAATGAAGCGATTAACATTTACTCAGAACAGGTTTAATAAGTTAATATTTTATCTACACAGCCAACCAACTTGGTTTCACTATTATAACAGTTTGGCTACAGCGTAAAGTCCCGTCCTGTCCAGGTATATCCTGCTTTATTCACATCTGACCTACATCATTCAAAACAGGAAGCGCTTCTGTAATCCAACTGATGTTTCTGACCGAACATGCAAATCACAACCAAAATGATCATGATCATGACCGAACATGCAAATCACAACCAAAACAGAGTTCATGATAACACAATTCCAGTGGTTGTTACTTGGTACGTTGAGAACCAGTATCAGTGTTATTTAGGGCTGTATCATTTCTATGGAAATCTGTGGATTTTAGTGATAAAGTCATGATGAACAGGGTTAATTTTTAAAGGACTTCCAAATTAATACATTTATGACTGCTCTGCTCCGATATAGCATTTAGACTAGCATGCAGAGAAACGTTTGGACATGCTACTATATAAATATGTGAAAATATACTTATTTACTGCCGTTCTAATGTAGTGCAATATAACAACTCTGCCTTTATTTTACCTTTAAGAAACTCACAATGTTTTGTTGATGCTGGCACAGAGGGGTTAATTGAGGCCTTAGGTAATGATGGTGCACAAACTGCACTGCTGCAGTAGATGACAGCGCAAAGCATTTTGACTTGCCTTTCTCCAATGCATGCCAGCTGCTCGATCTCCGTCATGACCTCTGCTATCTCCAGCTTCAACCTCTGACAGCAAACAGTGGGTAAGGTAAAACAAACTACAGGAAAAGGATTTATGGCATAAAAAGGACTAAGAATGCACTGTGTGCAGTAGAAAACTGGGCATGTAAGATGTATTGTAGGTCACTTTGTTTTACTTATAGCGTGCATATAGACGCTATAGTGCTGCAGCAGATACAGCAGACAAAAAGAAAAGGTTCAGAAATAAGAACACACTGTACTCCTAATTATTATTATTAGACAGTTTTACAGTACAATGATCTACTATCACTCACTATTTAAAGAGGGCCTCACAATAAACATGAAGAGCTTAAATGTATGTGCACCATAGGAGGCTGGCAACTGCAATTTCGTTGTACTCTGTACACTTGAATCTACTAATACAATAGGTGAACTTAATCAGAGTTCAAATGCACTGCTTACAATCGGAGGCTTCTGAGATGAAGTTCAGTTATACGCTGCATGTACTGTCTATGCTCATAGGCCCAACCACACACCTCAATATCGTCGAGCAGCTCTCTCTTCCTGCGTCGGATGTTTGTCAGCTCGTCCCTCTCTTCCTGCGACAGATCCTCGGGAACTGAAACACACAACAGAGAAAACACAGACCTCAACTCTCATTTGCACCAAAAAAAAAAAAAAAAAAAAAAACACAGCACAAGTAACAGAATTGTAAAAAGATGAGTGAAAACAGAAGTGAGCCCTAAATCCAGTCAAGTACCTCTAACTTAAGGAGTTCACAGGACAGACAGACAATCAGCTTGAAGATTCATCCACATCATAAAGTGACAGGACTGCTGTTAGCGCACTGAGTGTTGTCACTGCATTCTGCTGGTACATGCACAAATCAAGAGCGTGCGTGTTCATCTTAATTAACGAGAGAAATTGAGGAGGCGAAGGGTCTTAATTATTCCACTTCAAAGTGTTTTTCTCCTTCTCGTCTCCATTTGGCTCAGAGAAATTTCTATTAATCAAAAACTAATCAAGATCAAGCCGTCTTTCACTGAATGTGAATCCAACCATTTAACACAGCCTACAACCCTTTTTCCCCCAATCACTGGCTCCCAGTAAACAAGCAGAAAACGGAGGATGCTTCACTCTCTGCTCGGTGGCTCCAGCCTCTTGCTGTCTCGGTCTCTATCTCAATCTTGTTTTTCAAGCTTTACTCAGCTGTCCTTCCTTTCTCTAGACACACTTTATTTCTCAATGTTCTCCCTCTTTCTGTGCGACCTCGCTTCATTAGGCCAGTTTAGAGACAGAACATGCAAACCTCTCAACAGGAAAATGGCCTGTCGAATATCACAGCTGCAGCTTTATGCCTACACATAGTTAAAGGAAATATACATCACTTGTTATTTTCCCTGGCAGGCGGGGACCTGCGCTAATTAAAGTAATAGAAGGTCACCGGGCTCACGAGGAAGTACTCAGCACACTTTTAATCTGACAGCTTTTAAAAGAGTTGTGTTCAGTGGAGTGTTGCTGTAGATGGTATTCACATTAACAATGAGCCATCAAGTGCTTTATAATTTAGTTATGTAATCCTGGAGCACAGTTATGAGGTCAGGTAAACCGTGGGAGAAGCAGCTGAGGGATTTCCTTTGTGGGCCATGTTCTTAATAGACAACAGAAGACAATGAGACAGAGTATGAAAATAAAGATGTTAATTGGCGCCTCAAACCTCTGGCTAAATGTGGATTTAAAGCTAATTAGTGCTCTTGATAAGTTTCATGGCTGCATATGCTCTTTTACTGAGCAGTGTTTTCCAAATTTTTACCCAACATGCAGTAAATTTTGGAAGGAGCACGTGTCTGTCATGTCCTACATCCTATCTCAAACAAAAAATTTTAGCCGGACTAAAGGAACCTGGTACTAAATGACTGAAGGTACAGAGACCTTTTCATTTGATTGTTTTCTACTTATTCTTGTTCTGTTTTTATTCTATTTTATTGTTGTGCATTGGGGGCCACTATACTGGAGTCAAATTCATTGTATTTTTAACATACTTGGCTATACATTTTATGACTGAATGACTGATTTTATGCCTCCACACCGTCAATAGCAACGGTCAGAGGCATTATATTTTTGGGTTGTCCGTCTGTACATATAACTCTTGTGAATGCAATATGTCAGGAACACCTTGAGGGAATTTCTTTAAATTTGGCACAAGTGGTCAGAAGTCAAGGTCAGTGCCCCCACTTCTGTCCCGTACCCATGAATATGAGTGGCTATCAGAGGCCAACAAATGCAAAGCAGTAATTCTAGTTCAACAGGTGTGATATGCACATTACAAACAGCTGAGACAATTAATTGACAAGTGGAGCAATATTTTAACATCTTTCTCTCATCTCAACTGAATTTAATAATAGCAATAATTATTTAGTTTTTATTTATTGACATTACATGGCCTGGAAGATTGATCAACAATCACAAAAGCATTAAAAACCAACACCTAGATAACTAGCAGTTTAATCAATGGCAAAAAAAAACAAAAATCATTAGTTGAGGCCATAATGTTAGGATTTTTCTTCTTCTGTCTTTTTGAATAATTTGCTCAGAGGAAGATGATGCACACATGGCTCCATGTTTTCTATTTGAGTGATGCTGTGCATTAGTTAATGGAGATGCGTAATGGATGCAACAATGTGCATGATTACAATCTTGATTCATTACAAATCTAATGAAAGGCAGAGGATGTTCCCATTAATAGCAAAGCACTGCCATCATCCTCCAGTCCAAGTCTCTCTACTGGATCTACTGTATTAAAGGCTGCGTCTTTGAAACCACACATTTGATAACAGAGAAGGCCAACACCAGTATTTACATCTCTGTTCCAGTGGATAATCTTGTTTACTGGTGTGGTGGGGGCTCTTCCACAGAGGTGGTCACCAATTACATTAACACTTTCCCTTGTGACCTTTTATGACTCATTCAGGAAATTAGTGTCTTCAGCAGGCACAGAGGGAACTGTGGGGTCAAAGCTAGTGGCTGACTCCAACCAAACACATCCACACTTGAATGACAATCAATTATGGTGTGACCCACAGTTTCAGAGCAAACAGATGGCCTTGGAAGGGTCAGATCATCCAGTAGTGATGTAGCAGTATTTGGTGAGGCGCTGATTTATTAAATGTGTGTTTTTCAGCTAAACATGCAAAACTAGACCTGAACTCATATTTAACCTCTACAACATCTAAAAGAAATCACAGCTCTCAGCCCACCACTATATCGAGTGGTGGGCTGAGAGGGTCCGGAGAGTTTAAACACCATGTGCCAAACAGAACAACAGGCTCCACTAGTTTCCCCCTTAAAGAGAAAATCCCTCAATCTACTTTTGGGAGTAAATCCCCTGCTGCGCCTCACACTCAAAACTAACAACTGTCCTTGACCACCCACTAAAACCAGAGGCTTTCATGGCATTTAAACTGATCCAGAGATACCCTAACACGCACAAACCATCACCAATCTTCATCCGTTTCATCATTTTGGTTGTGAACCATAGAAGCTGTTTGATAAGACAGTAAAGAAAGAAAAAACATCACCTTGAGAGTTGATTCAAGAACTTCCCTATAACCAGTGCACATATCAGTTGTGCAGGACAAGCTCAGAGCACATAGCCAGATGCTGCCGCCGACCAGCCGATGCCCAACCTACTTTGCCCCAGTGATGCTGGATAAAATAATGTGACAGCATGTGTAGCAGCATGTAATCTAGTGTAGCAGTCTGCAGAAGCATTCTGTCTCTGAGGCACAAAGTGGGAAAGCTGGGGCATCAGCACATGGGCCACTGGGAGGAAGAGGGGGTAGGTAGCAGCTGAAAGGCTTGGCACACAGGGGTGTACATGCATGTGTAAAAAGCAGGACAGGCCACGTGGCATTTACTGAGTAAGACAGCTAAAAGTAAACTGTAGTTGTGTTGAGATAATAAACATTATATGTTTCCTCTATGAGTTGTCACAAGCTTTTGACTTATCTGTGTATATCTGAGGAATTATCCGTTGTGTACACACCCACCTACATTACTGGGATAGAGATCTACAGTAGCTTGCAGGCAATTTGGAAATCTGTATCAGCTGGCTTTCAGTTCTGTGCACAACAATGAAAGATGCTGACAAAGTGCAAACAGCACCAGAAAGATGCAGAAGAGGAGGGTCAATCTGGACGACTGGCACCATTTCCAACTTTTCAGTGATCAGCTATGTCGAACAGGAGCTCCGTGTTAGCCGCCTGCCTGCCAGTCCTGGAAGTGTACCTTCCTGTAATAACACTGATCCCATGCACTATAAGATCAGAGCAACCTTTAAAGAAAACAGCTACAGAAACAACCCACAAGATTTAAATAATTGGTCTCCCTCAGTATTGACTAAAGTCACTACAGTGGATGGATGAAGTTAAATATCAGCCTGTCCCGTGGCGACCTGCTGGATCAAAGACTTTCTATTAAAAGCAGCTCTGTTCTCACCAAGACAGAAAAGAAAATATACACTTCATCCTAGAAAAAGTTCCGAAAATGAACAAAGCGGCAGGACGTTTTATGAAGGTGAGAATGAGCTTGGTGTTGGTGCTGTTCTCAGTTTCTATCGAGCCAGAAGCCAAGAAACACACGTCTAGCCCGCAGCCAGCTGGACCCAGTTTTCTCTTAACTCTTCTTCCACTGAAATTAGGTGTGGATTACTCCAACACAGTACATCTCTGCTGCTAATGTCTGTGTTCCTGCCCAGCTCCCACTCACTGAATTTGCTGTGCCTTTTGTCACCCATCTGCTCTCTCTGTCTTGCACTTAAAGAGCTCCCCATTTCGACAGCTCCAAGCAATAATTCCTAGCAAACAGTACCTCCATTCACAACAGCAGAAATGTTGTCTTGCTGACAAACACACCTACAATGTTTTGTCTTCCAATCCACAGACCCAGACTACCATGGTGATGGGAACATGTTGGGAAGCCTCCCCAGTCTCTCTCCTAATCAGGTCCATATGTAGTCTCGACACTTAAACAGCGCCGTTTGTTACAAGCTCCGACTCAATCCCTACACACATTGCGCCAGTGCTGTCTATGTTGGTGTATTTGCCTTGTTGCATGTGGTATATGTACTGTATGTTTAATCTTCTAATATTGCACCACAAAACCCATAATCTTGGCAGTCAAAATGAATTTCTGTTCTTTCCAAGTCTCTCTTTAAGCCTTTAAACAACAGAGTCAGCCTGCCGGGTCAACCGACGAAATTGTAAAGACTATATTTTAGCATCTGTGTCAACACCCATAAGAGACACATTTCACTTAAACCAATGCAGACATTTAATTTCAGTCTAGTGAGGTGCTGTAGCCCATTTGGAAGTGAATCCAAACCAGCTCCATGTTTTTATGGAGGAAATTCCTTCTGGGGCCAGGTGGAAAAAAAAAAAAGTAAAGTACACACACATATTGTACCTCACAGGCTTTTAAAAGGATTTATATAAATGCAGGATTGGTGAAATTGGTATCAGTGAATTATCGTTTTAAAGAAATAGTTTGACAGTTTGAGAATTATGCTTATTCACTTTCTTACCAAGAGTAAGAGGAGATCAGACTAGAACTAATGTACATTTAGTCATTTTCGTTTTTTAGGAAAATGGTAGTCGACCACCAAAATAGCTGCAGATTCGTTATCTGATCCTACTAATAGACACAGCTCAAATTTATTTTACTTATAAGCAGTAGTGCAGTCGAGTCATGAAGCCTCGTGTCCGAGTCCAGTCACAAGTCCGAGTCACCAAAGAATAGCCAAAGTCCCTGTTACTCAAGTCATCACAGTCTACATTAAAAACAAATGACACAGCTCTCATCATTTTAAAATGAGTTTTTTTTTTTTTTTTTTTTTTACTGTGCGTGACACCATAGCCAAACATAAAAATGATTTATAGAAAGGCAAAGTGTATGCTTTGGTGGAAGTGTGCTGGATACAGTATAGTGTAGGTGAACAGGTTTTAATATCAATATCTCTCAAGTCCAAGTTGAGTCACGAAAATCAGAACTCAAGTTGGACCTGGACTCGAGTATTATAATATCGATAAGCAGATTCCATGTGAAGCATATCTTCAGGGTGTCATTAGGCAGATAAAACATGCAGATGCAGAAAGAAACAGATGTGTGAGCTTTATGTTGCCGTTTAGCACCAAGCCAGCCTCCCAGGCCAAACTGAAGCTAGAGAGGAAGCCCTGCTCACCCCAAGCCACTGTCTGATGCCCTCCCACACACTCTCCTGCAGCCACAACAACGACTGTACCCCAATCACATGTCTTACTACTCTCCCTCAAAACTACAGATACAGACGCCAAGAAATCACAGTTTGTTAACTCAGGTTCAGGACACAGTTTTTCTTTCTATAGGAGATATATTATTGCAAAAGACCATTCAGGGTTTTGACCTGTGACACCAACACTACTCTAAGTGCGCCATTAAAACGCCCATACAGACAAAACACTAGAGATGGAGTCAGATATGATTTGTTATTTTAGCACATACACTCACACGTTAAGTCCAAAGAAAATAGAGAATAGAAGGAAAGGCCTTTCCCCTTCAACGTTTCCCACGGTCGGATCGAGAAAAGAGTGCTGATAGGCAGAGTGGGTTATCACGGCACTTACACAGGAAATACGGTCAAGGAAACCTCACAGGACCCCATGAACAAAACATTTCTGTGCCTTTTTCTTGGCATCTGTACTTACAAGCACAAAACGTGTTTGTTACGAGCCTCATTCATCACAGACATCTTCATTCAGGCTGTAAAATTTTAAAGATGAATTATATTTATTTCAGAGTTTTAATATGCTTAATTCCCAAAACAGCCTTTTGCTCAGCCCACATTAATCCCTCGACTGAAGTATCACAGAGCTGCTATAAAGCGGAGAGAATACAAAAAAGCCAATTGTTAAATTCATGGCCTCCATCCAGCCGTTCAGTGAACTGCTTCCAAGCCAATTTCTGCTTGTGTTCTTTCCACGTCTTGTTCCAGCTGTGATGCTAAAAATAGACACATGAGTAACAAAAACATTCAAGATTTCAAGCCTGTTGCTGATTTTTATCCATTTTGAAGCCAGACCCTGTCTGCTCTGTAGCATGTAAAGTGATCAGAGAAGCGCCAACTCTGATTAGTGAGTGCAGTAAACATGGACTAATGAATTCCATGCTTGAGCTGAATCCCACAAATAACACACAGTGGCATGGTTTCATTCAACATTTAGCTAAGAGTAGCAAAGAAATGGGGGTCCTATGTGCAGGTTAGCCTCACCATGTTCCAACACCACCAATGCTCCACCAATGTCCCTCACCGAGAGGATAGGTTTTGACCAGCTAAAACAGCCGTTAACAACCAAGCGGCAACCTCTGATGTCGAGAAATGAAGCCAATGTGCAAGTGCCAAAACCTGCAGTTTCTTGAATGGCCACTTGAGGCTGTCTCCGAAAGGGAGTCAATCCCCATAGACTCCCATGTTAAATTGCCCAACTTTGCAGCAGAAATAAACATGTTTACAGCCTGGTACAAAAAATAGTTTAGGTCTCTGTGGCTAATTTCCCCTTCCATGGCAGGTGGGAGGGTCCCGCCACTGGTGGCTAACTTCCTTCTGGCCATTCAGCCTGCCCCCGCTCCACTCACGCTCTCACGCTCTGCCTCTTTGTCCATTTTTAGATTAGACGCAGCAGGCGGAGTGAAGCACTACTAATTTGACAATGGCCAGACTTGAACTTCAAAATCGCACTGTGACATCACAGTTGGGTTTGTCCAGCTTTTATATTAAGTCAGTGGTAATGGATTTGCGATTTGGTGCTTTGGTCAGACAAGATGCCGGAATGTGAAATAGCAGGAAAATTCCTGGGGTGCATGTCTGAAAGGGAGTTATAATAACAGCTTAAACCTGCTTTTCGTTTGGCCACTTGATGGAAGTGTAACAAGCTGTAAACAACATTTTATTAGCTTCTAAAGTTAATATGGAAAATATGCTAGCACTCGCGTGCAGTCCTTTCAGCTCTGTTTGTGATACCCACTAACTCCTGCCTCTTCATTTGCTAAATGCTCTAATATGCTCACCAGCTAGCCGCCAGCTGGGTTTGCAATTTGTTGCTGGGTGGTGCATCTGGGGACGACGCTAATAAAAGAGACTGAATCAAAATAGTAGAGTTGTGGACTGCACAACCAAAATAACAACCTTAGAGACAATAAAACTATACACCGATGAAGACAAATGCAGAGCTTGGCGATAACTCTGTGGTTTCATCACGATAAGCAACTCCATTCATATTAAAAGTAGTCATGTTGACTGTAGAGATATTAGAATTTAAAGAAAGATTAGAAAGGAGCGTATGCCCAAGGACTCGAGGTAATAATATATGTATGGGTTTTTTTAAGTTGATGGAAACATAAAGCTGAAATACAAACACATTTGGCCATGATACACTAATCTGTATGAGCTCTAGGTTCATGAGCTTCTACTCTAAATTTGACTGTAGCTCCTGTAATTGACTGGCAAAGACAAATTTAGCACCACATGCCTGTGTTTATTCCAGCATGTGCACGTGAAGAATGTTAAGTGAGGTGTGCAAGTCAGCAAGAGGCACATTTTGAGTGAGTTAACAAGAGCTCTTAATTAGTTTATCATTTACATAGTTATTTTAATAACTCACACAGTGCTGCACATGATCTTGTGTCATATGTTCCCAGTTTGATCACAAACGTGCCACTATGGTCTCTGACATTCTGTCACATGTTTCAGAGACCGCTCGCTCTCAGTGGCCTCAAATGTTTATGGTGGACCTGTAGCAAATGTGAAAACTATGAAGGGTGCTTACCCTCTATGCTCAGTTAATTTCATGGCAATTTGCTCACAAAAAAATAATATAATTCACTCTCTGCGGACCATGAATATAGACAGAAAAGGTCATGGAAATTTGTTGAAATACAATGAAGGTGTAGATAATAATTTACAAGCATAAAGAGTAAGATAACAGAAAGACAGGAATAGTCTTGTGTTAACTGCACCAGAACCACTTTACACAAAAAGTTAAGATGTGGGGTAAAACCGGGTTATTCACACTTCCATTCAAAGAGACAAAGCTTCTTGGTAAAGGTATATTCAAACTGTTCAAACATGACAGTAATGTTAGAAATGGGAGGAAGTTCAGATGAGGGTCTCTTCTGGCTCTGCTTATCTCTCAGTTTAACTGACAAACTGTTATCAGACAATAGCCAATTGTTTACACTAAGGCCTTCAGCCCACGAGGCGGTTTGGATTATCTGCTTGGAAGCATGGTGCATGTATGCTTTACCACCATCATATAATGATGGATATGAGACTGAGCTGAGGCCACCCTGTCAGCAGTAGCCTAATCTGGGTTACACATGCAGCTGCACAGGTTCAGTTCATTCAGTGTAAAATCAGTCCCCATCAGGAATGCGGCACTAAATACCCAGTTTATGACCAACATTTTCAAAATCCTAACATTCATCATATACAGTGCATCATTACAGCTCATCTCTGGCACTTACATGACCTTACAGGCTAACCTCCACATATAGTGTCACTAATGAAATCTTGTACAATGACCCTCTTTGAACTTTAAGGCATTCCTCCTATTAATATTTCTCAGTATGAAACAATTAGTCGATTAATCAATTTGCCAGTGAACAGAAAAGGAATCCACTACTTTGATAACTGACTAACTGTTTAAGTAATTTTGTTTAAAGCAAGCATGGAAAAAGTCTTCTGGTCCAAACATCTCGCATGTGAATATTGGCCACTTTTTCTTGGGCGCTGGTCATAATAAGTATTTTTCTCTATTTTCTGACATTTCAAAGACAAAAGAATCATGAAAATAACGTGCATACAAATCAATTCGTACAATAAATGTTAGCAGCAGCCCTGCCACACTGTTTTCTCTTATTAGTGTCTAAACTATAATATTTCCTATGACTTCAAGAGTGTGTCGTTTTTGTACTAAGATTATAATATTTGTACTAGGTTAATCTCCTATTCCATTAATGTGTTTATATTTTGGGAAAAGCATGTCGCTGGAGCCTGGTAGGTCTGTCCTCCATATGGAAATGTGAAAACTATGAAGGGTGCTCACCAGTCATATCTTATCAATTTCCACCAGTTTACAGACTTCAAACGGTGCAACAAGATAGTGAGGACTTCAAAGCCTTAAAGCAAGAACCAGACAGATGTTAAAGGTGAATGCATGAAAAACAAATTGCCGTGGTTTGATTTCAGTATTTCTGTACAAGGACTCACCTGCAAGGACATGTAGACCAACATATATTTGTGTGAAATGCACCTTTACTAGCACGTTTTGAATCTTGAATTATTATTTATCCGTTAGGTCTGCAAAAACCACAACAGCCTGGCTTTAAAATGCCTCCATCTCTGTACAACCGTGTTCCCTGACTCACACGTCCGTCCATCCGTCCATCCATCCCGGTACACGGGCTGAGAAGGAGAGGGAAAAAGAAACAACCTTACCGTGAGTCTCTTCATCCATATTGATTGCAGCTGTGACAGGACGGTCCAGCAGAAGGTGTGTTCGGCTGAAACCTCACGGAAAATATATTTTACTGAGTGTTTTCAGCGAGGTTTTCTTTCCTTTCACTAACAAGACGGAGGAAGCCGGTGTTGTGTTGACAGACATATGGGTGAAGTGGACTGTCAGCAGCGAAATGAACAGAAAAACAGAGGAAAAAAGAAGCCGCAGTCTGGGTGTAAATTAAAGGGTGCTTCTTAATTGCAGAAGGGATATTTCAGAGGTGTATGCCCACGACATGAGACAGCAGCAGCTCTTTTCTCTGTCTCTGCCTCATCCTCAGTTGCTCCGTCTGCATTCACGTTACCCTGCAAGCGCGACTACGTCATGAAGCCCCGCCCCCTGCTAACTACACCCAGACACCTACACTCACTAAACACACAGCAGGCCAGCTCCAGTCACACTGTAACGTTAACAGATCTGTCTACATTAAAGCTACAGTATGTGATTTTTCAAAACCTGCTCCAAAGCCTGTCTAACTGTGGGAGAGGGGATGTCGAAGGCCCCTTTGACCCATAAACAGCACAGCCAGTAGGCTCTAACAGGTTTTGAAATTATCAGTTATTTCTGCTTGATCAGTAACTTTTGTTGCATTCTTATTTATGGTATTGTCATAATGACAAATATCTGAGGAGCTGGGCAGAGCATGGCAGAGTGTAGCTGATCGTAGCCGGGCATAGTGGAGCATGGAGAGGAAGTGCTAGGTGGAGAAGAGAGGAGTGAGCTGGAGCTTCATAGTGCTACCTTAAGTTATATATTATAGCTTTAATTAGAGCCTTTGGTTCATATCTGCCACTCTCTGCAGTGATCAGGCTAGTTGCACTGATCCAATATTTTAGCCAACATGTTAGCACCAACAAGTAGCAAAGGTTATCAGAAGCGGTTTTTGGTAATGGAGGAGCTTTTGGCAGCTAAAAATTTGGCTGAAAAGAAATTAGATAAAGTAGTTTTAACATTACACAGAAACAGTTTCATTATTTGTTTCATTTATGATCCACACTTATGGTAAACTGATTCCACTGTAGTCTACAAAACATCTTACATCTCTAAAAGTCTCTAAGTATCTGTGTTAAAGTGCTTTTCTAATTCTGACTTCGTACATCTGCCCCACACCTGCTACCAGTGATGCACGCATGACCACACCATTGAGGGCTCATGGATAAAGATATTTCCTGACTGTCCCGGCCCATCCGAGCCCATGACTCACTGAAACCTTTCCGAGGAAGATCCCGGCCACACCAGCAATGATGTACTGACGTGGGGAATACGAAAGCAAGACCCAACATGTGGTCCAGAGTTCCAGGAAGGGAGTTGTGCTGAGGACTCATTGTGCAGCACTACAGGAAGACAACTGAAGAAAGTTATACAACAGGAAGTGATTCAATGGGTCTGATCTCCACTGCCCTCACAGTGTTGTGAAATCTGATCTGATCTGTCCCTTTACATTTCCTTTTGAGGGTTTACTCACAACCTGCAGTTTATCCATACTGGAAAATATTACCAAAAATATGTGGCTTAACAAATTTTAAATGTGTATGTTTGGACAGTGCAGTATGTTCAGATAGTTTATTTGAATCGGAATTGTTTATTTAATATATGTATATATATATATATATATATATTTCCTGCTTCCTAAGGCCGCCTGCTGGCAGTACAGCCAGGCTGACATAGCTGATGCATGTAACCATTGTTTCATGCAGAAGGAATTAACTTAGTGTTACTGGAAAGAGTAAAGCACAAATTATATTTACAGAATTTCCAGTCAGTGCACATTTGTTCAGCATGTAACAGACCTACAAATACACATACACAAACTGGACTACGTAAGTGTAGTGCAAGGAAGCAAGGGCGTAGGTTTGATCTCAACATTGCCAGGGACCCCCACCCACCTAGAGCCTTAGCTGAAGCACTGAGGACATACTGTACATGTTCCCTCATCAGTCTGCTGTGCTTCTCTTGCCTGATGCTGTTTCTGACATAATAATAATAATAAAAAAACTGAATCCATTTCTAGCCTATACACAATGATGAGTGATTTTGGTGACACTACTGTCTAACAGTAAAGTTATTGAATATTCTTCTCAAAATTACACAAACGCATAATTTTTCCAAACTAAGTGTTGTAATGCAGTCAGCAAATGATCATTAATGTGTGAAATGATTTTGGTGACACTACAGTATATGAGTGAAGTTACTGAATATTTTTTATCAATAAAGCCAAACATATTTTTTCTAACTAAGGGTCATAGTATAACCAGCAGACAACCACTGATGTGTGAAATAATTGTTGTAACACCACACTGGGTAAAAGTAAAGTTACTGAATATTTTTGTAGTAGGCCTATCTCTTTTTACTGCTACACTTTGTAGATGGGGTGGCATAGTGGCGCAGTGGTTAGCGCTGTCGGCTCACAGCAAGAAGGTTCAGGGTTTGAGCATGTTCCCTCCAGGTACTCTGGCTTCCTCCTATAGTCCAAAGCCATGCAGCTTAAGTTGACTGGAGACTCTAAATTGCCTGTAGGAGTGAGTGTGTGTGGTTGTCTGTCTCACGGTTTCTCTTGTTTTTCCCCTCAAAGGTTTCAGACTTAAATAAATACTGACTCCACAGCACTGGTAGTTACAATTAATTTGTGGCATGTTCCCATAAATTCATCATCACACCCACTCAGAGTCCTGCCCGCAGCCAGGAACCAAACTGAGTTGGTTTCAGCATGATTCTTTGTAGGCTTGAGGGAGAAGTTACTTTGCAATGTGACATCTTCATCACCACTTTTTCCCCTGTATTTTTGGCTGCATCTCTCATTGGCGTGCATAAAAAGTAAAGGGGATTTTGCTTTAGGGAAGTTAAGGTCATCAGTTTAAGGAATAATCCTGTGTGGACCAGTACAAGATACTGTAGTAGAACCAAAAAAAATGTAGTCCATCATACAATTCAGTTATTCCCTCTAATACACTAGTTAATTTATCTGTTGCTGACAGTATGTACAGCATTTAACATTTGAAAATGAAGCTTTTGTCTTTCAAATGGCAGAGGAGATTGGCCAAAAACCATCTTGTGGGTGAAATTAAAACTATTTCATTTCAAGCATCAATTTGAAACAGAAACAAAAAGGACAGAAGATGCATGCATCCGCCTTTGCTCGGCTCCCCGTCAGGTTCATCAGTGTGGCAGTCTGATTTTCTTCCTATATCCTCCAAGCAAGCTCATCCAAAAATGTTGTGCCCTGAACTTTTGATGCACTCATCAAGGAAGCGGCCCTGTGCTGTGTGGAACCAGATTACTCCAGGTCATCTCCTGACTGCCGTCACACAGCAGCAACACTGTAAGAAAATAACCTGCTTCATGACCCATAAACTTATAATGAGGTACATGCTGGCCCATAGACCTTCAGAGATTTATTATGAAAGATTCTCATTTACTGTGAATAATCAGACTCACTGATTATTCAGTACCTACTCAGCCCTCCAGCTTTTCTTTTTGGCACATGATGAAATATTGGTCCCTTGAACCAGAGAACTAAATCAATAAAATAACATGCTCTGGATTATGCCTGGTCTACTAGTGAGTGTTTAATACTCAAGTCCAGAATTTCAGGACTTGTGACTCAAGCACTGATGACTTGGACTTGAGCACTGACTGCATTCAGACTTGGAAGTTGACTTGTACTTCTTTTTTTCTAATAGGCCATAATAATTTGGCCCAAGACATTGATATTAAGACCTGTTTACCAGCACCATGCTGTATTCAGCACACTTCCATCGATGCATACACTCTGCCTTTCTATAAATGACCTTTATGTTAAATTGCTGAGCAATATGGTGATGCAAAGAAAGAATGTTTGGAAAGAAAATTTGGAATATAAAATGGTGAGAGCTGTGTCCATTGTGTTTAATATAGACCTTGATGACTCTGACTTGGGTAATAGGGATTTGACTAGGACTCAAACTCAGCTTGGACTCAACTTGGACTCAAACACTGGGGACTCAAGATGATTCAGACTCCGAGGTTTAGTGATTCGACTACAACTCTGCTACTAGTAATGATCTGGTACAATAAATGTAGCCTTCTTTTGAAAATATAACTCAAAAATAGTATTTATTGTTATACTCAAAGCTGGAACAAAAGAGAATAGATCATCTGAGTGTGAGCCCGGTGCTTTTCTGAGGAATCCTGTGAAAACCATCTGCAGCAGTTCCACACACGTTCTGCTAATGCAAACACACACGTAATGTGACACACTTCCTTCCTCACAATAGCTAAGAGAGAGTGAAGCGGACAACTCCTGTACAGAACGGAAGAGAAACTGGAGAAAGAGAAAAACACACACAGAATGAGAGGGAGGATAAAGGAAAGTTGTACGATGTTTCCAACTAGGAGCAAAAGTGCTGCAGTTTTGCTGTTGTTTGGCCTGGTGGCTGGAAATTTCCCATCACATCTACCAGACTCACCAGTTTATTTGATTGCATCTTTGTAAAAATGACTCGAGATGAGGCTGGACACACAGCAATCGCATCCATCTCCTTTCATCCCACGACTAAAGCTTTGCATATGCTGCATGTCCCTGCTCGTGCAGAGTGAAGAGCTCCTCAAAAGAGCAGTTTATTTTTAGGGTGCCTAACATCGGCTGCCTCTGGCTAATACACAAGCTGCACAGAGCTGCCTGAAACCAACCCGAAGTAAACCATATATCCTTTTGTCACAGCTCAACATGCAGTCAAATAAAAGGTTTAGGGAAGCTTGAAGGGAGCATCTGGAGGCAGTTCACAGCTTTCCAAGTAAAAAGGAATTCATGTTTTCCTGTTGAAACTTTTTCCTTCGTTGTGCAGCTGTACTTGCAAATTTAGTTATGGAATACAGTATTTTTGTACATGTACATTCCAACTGCACTAATCAGGCATAATTCTGCAAATAATTTTGAGAGATCCATCAGTTGTTACAGACTGAGCTGCTGAATGATTTGTAGCAATGCCAATTGGATCATATTATTGCAGGCTTACAGTGATCATGTGTGAAGTAAATGCCAGAGATTCAGCTGGGCTCAGCTTTATGTGCTCAGTTCAGCTACAATAACAAAATTCAGGGAATAGCTTATGAATACACCGATCCTTTAGTTTTTATCTCAGTAAAAGAGTTAACTTCCTCCACATTTTGCGAGTGTAGATATCCTGTGGACTCGACACTCCCACGTTGTGAGTGTCCTCCTTACATTCAAGCGCTGATCGCCTGCATACTGTCAGTCTGACTCATATGCAAATGAGAGCACCATGGCAGGGGTCATTAAATCTCTGTGATTATTTAGAATTGTCAAACCTAATGATTCAATGAAATGACTCTGAACTGCAGTTTGAAAGAAGATGCATATGGACTGAGGACGATAGGGAAGCATGAAGAGAGCTGCGCATTGCAGTGGACAACAAAGACTCACTAACAAAAGCTATTTAATAGCAGTTCCAGCTTGTCTAAATGTCTCTCCTCCCATCTCTGATCTGAAGCACTTGTCATTGCCCCAAGGGCAGCTGTTATAGCTAGGTAACACAGAAACACTCCCAAAGGCAGAGCTCCCACATTTATCTTCAAGTGAAACAGTTTAAACCATAAAAACTCCCTTTAACTTAACCATAAAGCAATTTATAATGTAATCAAATGACCCCTTTGATTGTGTGTTTCTTCCACTGACTATCAGTGGCTCCACTGCTGAAGTGTCACTGAATGTCAGAGAGTTTTGATCCATCAGTTTCAGACAATCTGCCTCAGCACACAGGTCTAACCTATCAATTCTATCAAAGCAAAACCATGTACATGGGATTTAAAAAAATAAATAATAAAGTAATGCATAAAAAACAGTTGGACATTTTGCTTATTACTCTTACTGTTGCCAGTATGAACAGATTTCTAAATGGCGACAGAACCAGATTAGCTGTTTCCAAGCCTTTATGATAAGCTAAAATAACCTGCTGCTGGCTCCAGCAACGTTCTCTGTGCAGAGTGAGAGTGGGGTTGGTCTTCTCATCTAATTCTCAGCAAAAGAAAAACAAATCATATTGCCCAAAATGTCAAGCTGCTGCTATAAATGTGAGATTAATTAAACACAAAAAACCTACTACACAGCTGGGTCATGTTTGGTAAGACAGCTAAAGCAGATTTTTTTTAGCTATAAAAGTATCTAAACAAGAAGCAATGATGACAGTTCTCAAGCCATGTCAATTCAGTTAATGTCACAGAGGCTAAATCAGCCAAACCTCAGTCATGTGCACAGTTCAGAAAACTGCTAATTAATGAAAATGTCCGTAGGGCAACCTGGAAAATAATGACAACAAATGCCACATACACAGGCGTGCAAAATGAGGACCACAACCTGTTACTAACCAACAGTGATATGAAGATAACTAGATGGAAAGCAAATGCTATTAAGTTGGATGTCAAAATTGTACAGTCTAATTTGACTAACCGTTGAAATATTCAAGATTTATTTGGCTCATTACTAAATTGTACATTTTTTTTTCTTTAGGATGTGTGAATACTGCCTCAGGGAAGATTTCCCCTTTAATGTCTTTTCTCAGTGTGCTAGCCTAAGGCCCCTCATTGTGACTCTGCTGTGTTTTACAGCCTCCCTGATCTACCAGCGACAGGCTTGTTTATCCTTCATTAATCTCTCTTCCCTGCTTTTACCCCCCACTTAATGTTGAGGTTTATCCTATTAATGTGTGGTTTGCTGGATAAATCCTCCAATAACATAATCCAGAGTCAAGGTTTCTAATGTGTGTGTGTGTGTGTGTGTGCCCTTATTCACATTGTGGGGACTTGGCCGTCCTTGTGGCTTGTCCCTGCTGTGTAAATCATTGAATTATAGGGCGACAACTTGGTTTAAGGTTCGGGTAAAGTTAGGGTTAAGCTAAGGTTAGGGTAAGTCGACAGAAAATGATGGTAAGTAAACATAAAGTCTCCACAAGGAATGAGAACAAGCATGTATGTGTGCAGAGCATTAGTTGCCATGGAGTCAGTGATTAAGTGAAGGATAAATAAAACCATTACAAAGGCAATGGCCATAATGGAAAGAAAGTGAAGAGAGAGATTTACAGCTTCTCCAGTTGGTTTTAAGACATACAACTGTAAAATGCTGCTCTCTAGTGTTCAGGGAGAAAATCCTTGAACTTGAGAACAAAATAGAGACCTGGCTGCTTGAAAGGATGAAGCTGCATTAATTTGACCATAGGCCATGTTTTGCTGTGAGTGCTGGTACTGATATGGGCCATAAAAGTAAATAATCTGTTTTGTTATTCACACTTTACACATTCAGGGTCAATCCTGCAGTTTGTTGGTATAATAAATATTAAGTAATTTTATTTCAGTACTGCACTTTACTTGCTTCTGGTTTCAGTCTGCAGCATTTATAGACTAAATTAGCTCCACCTCGACCAGGTGGAATGTTGAATTCTTCTTACACATGAATGCATCATCAACAATTATCCAGTAATATGGAGTATAACTATATAACTATCATGGGCTACGCTACTGCACTGTAAATACTTTTACTTTAAGTAGGCTACAAGGTGCTGTCAGTACTTCTGCACTTTTACTGAGATTTGATGTATTTTAAACATGGAGCGAGTACTGAACAGACCTGAGCAGCACAGGCCCAGGGGCCGAAGGGGTCAGGGGGCCCCTAGACCAGAGTACAATGAAGGAACTGTTAACTTCTCTGTTGGAAACTCAGTGAAATGACTACAAAGCAACTACAAAAAGCCATCAAACGATTTTAAAAATTATGCAAAACAACCCTGTTAAGAAATACAAAACTACTAAAGATAAAGAAAATCACTAAAAAGAGATGGAAAACAACCCCAACATTACAACAACAAAAATATGCAACAACAAAGACACAAAACAGGTTTTTAAATAAAAAGTGCAAAATGACTATAAAGAGATGCAAAACGAGTAAAGCCGTACAGGGTGCCATGCAAAGGGCATGGCACGGTTATGACCGGTAGATGGCAGGTTTAGCGCGCTCCGGTCTGACCGGATATGACTAGCAGCTTCCAAACTGTGGGCGTTTTTCCCTCAATCTTGACTCCAGTTTTTTTTTCTTGGGTGTTGCCTTCCGCTGTATAACTTTGGAATTTCAGTAGGGTGTTGATGAGAAAGAGGGACGAGCCGTATAACTTCTGCAACGTTTCCAACTTTTTGGACCGCACTCGAGGCCCTTCTCCAGGTTTACGCGGTACTTTTCAGGCGACACGGGAAAGCTTTATTTTAGCCGCTGTTAGCTAGCTAAGCTAAACGACACCGAGGTGCTGTAACGCTCGTTGGGTTTATAGCGAGAGAGCCGTCCGATGCAGGCCATTAAGTGTGTGGTAGTGGGGGACGGGTAAGTTAAACCGTCGATTTATTCTTGTCTTGACCTGTGATACGTCCATATTAGACCCACATAGTAACCATTTAAGGCTAATATAGTTGTTTTTGTTGACCCAGTTAGCAACAGTTGGCTAGCGGCTAACAAGCCCCAGATAAGATGCCAGCATGCGCGACAGCTGTTGTTGTGGCTGCTCCCCGGTCCAGCTGGGTCAGACACATCTATCCTCAGGCTCCGGTTCATAGCTTGTCATTTATTTGTCCTGTTGACAGCTCGTCCTACACTTAAACTGTGGCTCGATACTGTAGCTATTGTACATTTGTTGTGTAGTTTTGTCAGCCATAGTGATGATTTGTTTGGCCCCGTTTTGCATCAGAATAACTTATTTATTCTATGTCAAAACGAAGACGAACGACCATAGTAGCTCCATCACGTCTTATAAGAGCTGAGAGATTATTAATTTAAATAATGATTAACATTTAATCAGTTTACCCAATAATAAAGCTGTGAAGAATTTGTGATGCTAAATAAGACAGCAAAAGAAGCAAGTCTGGCATCTGTATCGAGCAGATGTTCTCTTTATCTAATGTATTTCTGAAAAAAGTTTTTATATTTGTGGCAAAACCAATTTTTACTGTACAAAATGACTCGTACATTATCAAGGCGACATGTGTGCAAAAGCAGTTTCAAACGAGATGAACAATTTTCCTTTTTTGACATTAAGGCCATTTTTCTACAAAATCAAAAAATATGTTATTCTCTTTATAAGAGCTCTGGTTGCTTATAATTTAGTAGAAGAAGAGAAACCACTAAATGAAAAAGTAATGTCTAAACCTTTCTGATTACACACCAAATTTTCAAACATCCTAGCACAAACTGATTTTATATTTCTGGTAACCTTAATATACTGCAAACATCTGTTCCTGCTCAAATTATACAAGTTACACCATCACACATCCTGGAGGATAAACCTGTTGCACCTGGCTTGTCCACCTGTCAGGAAAAGCAGGTTAAACCTAGTGGCTGTAGTCTTTAGCTCTCCTTATTGAATTTTAATGTTGCCTCCTCTTCCTCCCTGCCCCTTTCTCTCCTCTTAGGGCGGTGGGTAAAACTTGCCTGCTCATCAGCTACACCACCAATGCCTTCCCTGGAGAGTACATCCCCACAGTGTAAGTAACATACCCAGGACACTCCTCATTCCTGTTTGTGGTGTGAAGATGGTCAACAAGTGGAAATGTGGCATGTTTGTACGATGGTCACTCGCCCAACAGTTGCAATGGGAAAGTTGTATTTTGTTGACAGATTTGTTGAGGAAATGTATCGCTGTAGTCACTGTATTGTAGATTACGATGTTGTAAATTACTGTATGCTTAACCAGAAACCTAATATCCACCTCCCTCCATACAGCTTCGACAACTACTCGGCCAACGTGATGGTTGATGGGAAACCAGTAAACCTGGGCCTGTGGGATACAGCAGGACAAGAGGACTACGACAGGCTCAGGCCACTGTCCTACCCTCAGACAGTATGTATTCTGTCCACTGTGCTGCACAGACTAGTGTCATTCAGACAGTGTTAGCATTGCCAGTGTTTATTTGGAGTTATTCACTGGCCTGACAGGCTTAAGACAGTCTGTTCACTCAGCAGAGTAGAGCCTTGTATCTATAGTACCTAGACACTCTCTGGAGGATGTGAAAAGGAGCTCTTGTTTGCCCTCTTTGTCCTCATAACAAACTGGCCTCTGTGCATATGACACAGATTCAGATTTGTCTACATTTATGGACATTTGTAATTTAAGTCAGTAATGTATTCTGTCTGTTTATATTCAGCATCTTGGTGCTAATTAATTTCACCGTTTGGTTGTGGTTATTCTTGTCACAGTTGTTACAGAGTGCTGATTACATTTTTAATGTCATATTGATGTTTCATTTTCCTCTGTTCAGGATGTGTTCCTGATTTGCTTTTCACTAGTCAGCCCAGCTTCCTTTGAAAACGTCCGTGCCAAGGTGAGAACAGCTTGCTCTCCATCTGTGCACTTTAACTCTGCCAGTAATGGTAATATTAGTTTCACTTTTTTCCATGAAATCTCACGGTCAGATCAGCTTGGGTGGAGGAGTAATTTATTAGATCTTGACAGTGAGCCAGATCTGGCATTTCAGGCAATAGACACAACTGTAAAAGTAGCAGATACATGTTTGAATTCAGATCCTAAAAGAGTGCTTGAGTTTAAAAATGAGCTTCACTAAAAGGTAAACACTTTCCCCCTAGTTACACATAACTTTAGTTCTAGTAATAACCTCATCTTTGTCAAAGGTCACATCATGTTGAGTTTGGATAACAGCCAGGAACCAGAGGGACATATTCTCTTAGCAGCCCACCCACATTCCACGCTTTCTGCCCTATTGTCCATCTGCTTCCTGTATCCTCTTAATCTGTCTTCTCCCTCCATGCAGTGGTACCCTGAGGTGAGACACCATTGTCCCAACACACCCATCATCCTGGTGGGCACCAAGCTGGACCTGAGAGATGACAAGGACACCATAGAAAAGCTCAAGGAGAAGAAACTGTCCCCCATCATCTACCCACAGGGCTTGGCCATGGCTAAAGAAATAAGTCAGTTTAGGCTCGACACATCCACTAATACATGTTTAAATCAATGTATTGTCTGTTAAGGTTTCAACTAAAGGAGCCAAATTTAAGGAGTTAGTGACATGTTTCTAAACCCTTAAAATACATCAAGAGGCCACCGATTCAGTTACATTTTGTGATAACAACATTGTGCACATTTAAAGCTGCATATACTAAGGTGCCTGTGTGAACAAGTGTTTGCCCCCCTGTCAAAACACTGGTTTATCGCACCTGAGTTCAATTTCTCTAGCCACACCCAGGCCTGATTACTGCCACACCTGTTCGCAATCAAGAAATCACTTAAATAGGACCTGCCTGACAAAGTGAAGTAGACCAAAAGATCCTCAAAAGCTAGACATCATGCCGAGATCCAAAGAAATTCAAAACCAAATGAGAAAGAGAATAATTGAGCTCTATCAGTTTGGAAAAGGTTATAAAGCCATTTCTAAAGCTTTGGGACTGCAGCGAACCACAGTGAGAGCCATTATCCACAAATGGCGAAAACATGGAACAGTGGAGAACCTTCCCAGGAGTGGCCGGCCGACCAAAATTACCCCAAGAGCGCAGCGACAACTCATCCAAGAGGTCACAAAAGACCCCACAACAACATCCAAAGAACTGCAGGCCTCACTTGCCTCAGTTAAGGTGAGTGTTCATGACTCCACCATAAGAAAGAGACTGGGCAAAAATGGTTTGCATGGCAGAGTTCCAAGACGAAAACCACTGCTGAGCAAAAAGAACATAAAGGCTCGTCTCAGTTTTGCCAGAAAACATCTTGATGATCCCCAAGACTTTTGGGATAATACTCTGTGGACAGACGAGACAAAAGTTGAACTTTTTGGAAGGTGTGTGTCCCATTATGTGTGGCGTAAAAGTAACACCGCATTTCAGAAAAAGAACATCATACCAACAGTAAAATATGGTGGTGGTAGTGTGATGGTCTGGGGCTGTTTTGCTGCTTCAGGCCCTGGAAGACTTGCTGTGATAAATGGAACCATGAATTCTGCTGTGTACCAAAATATCCTGAAGGAGAATGTCCGGCCATCCGTTTGTGCCCTCAAGCTGAAGCGAACTTGGGTTCTGCAGCAGGACAATGATCCAAAGCACACCAGCAAGTCCACTTCTGAATGGCTGAAGAAAAACAACATGAAGACTTTGGAGTGGCCTAGTCAAAGTCCTGACCTGAATCCAATTGAGATGGTGTGGCATGACCTTAAAAAGGCAGTTCATGCCCGAAAACCCTCCAATGTGGCTGACTTACAACACTTCTGCAAAGATGAGTGGGCCAAAATTCCTCCACAGCGCTGTGGCAGACTCATGGCAAGTTATCGAAAACGCTTGATTGCAGTTGTTGCTGCTAAGGGTGGCCCAACCAGTTATTAGGTTTAGGGGGCAAACACTTATTCACACAGGGCTATGTAGTTTTGGATTTTGTTTTCCCTTAATAATAAAAACCTTCATTTAAAAACTGCATGATGTGTTTACTTGTGTTATCGTTGACTAATATTTAAATTTGTTTGATGATCTGAAACATTACAGTGTGACAAACATGCAAAAAAGATAAGAAATCAGTAAGGGGGCAAATACTTTTTCACACCACTGTATATAGATTAATTGAAAAAGGTGTCACTGAAGGGCATAGAAGCACCACAATATCTCAAATATAGTAACAACATGCTTGATTTTGGATTAGTTTCTTGGATGAGTTGAAGGAAATTATAAATGTAGTAGAACATGAATCGGACCAGTTTTATGTCTTAGCATTTTATTACATTTTTCATTTCAGTTGGTGGGTGTGTCAGGTGTTGTTGAATGATGTTCTCTGAACCCAAAAGCTTTTGGTCATGATGATCCTAAGTGTTTCATTTTTGGGTATACTGATTTATAATTTAAGAGCATCCTGTTAGTTTTAAAAGCATTTTGTTTGCTTATTTTAAATCGGTTCCTAGCTGCCATTTATAATGTGTTTAAAAAGCCATGTTTTTTGAAACCTTGTGCACTTTGTGTAGCCTAGAGTGTGGAAGAATTCGGGTTAGTACAATTATAATGTTATACTGATAGAAAACACCTGCTACTTATCCTAAGGTTTAAAATGTTCTTAGGACTGAATGATAATGACATGCAAACAGAAACCCTTTGGTTTACTGACTTCGCCTTCCTTTCCTCTGGCCACCAGGTGCAGTGAAGTATCTGGAGTGCTCTGCTTTGACACAGCGCGGCCTTAAGACAGTGTTTGACGAAGCCATCAGGGCGGTCCTGTGCCCCCCACCCGTCAAGAAGAGGAAGAGGAAGTGCAGTCTATTGTAACAGGAGAACCACAGGGAGTAGAAATTACAGGTGAAGTCAGAACTCACCTGCTCGAAGAAAAAAAATGATTAAGCCCCCCAAATCTCCGCTCACTTGCTTATATATAAACTCTGGTAGGTTATTGACCTCCATCTGAAAGAACTTGACAGATTTAAGCAGCGCTGAAGGTTTTTCTGTCTTATCTAGCTTCTGGTGCTTACAGCTGTTGAGTCCTTTCAGACCGACACGAATGAAGCGACATTGCTAGGGCCTTGGGGAGCGTGAGGCTCGGGGGACTTGATTTGGTATCTGGGGTTGTTTTAAGGAGAAAGAGGGAGGATTTTAAACAAAACACATCAATTTTCTCAGACAGCATGAAGGAGACACTACACAAACGTGAATTTATCATGAAATTTGTTGTAGATTTTAGACAACAGGACATCCTACACTGCACTCTT